AAAGACATATACATTGAGTGTATTTCCAACAACACCCACAATAAAAAATGCTATTAGATAATAACGGCAAAACTGTATTGCGGCAGCATTCAATGAATCAGCAGCAACTTGTAACGACGATATTGTTGTTGTAGCCATTTTCAATTGTTTGAAATTTCGATAACTACTACAAATAATGAAAAGCGAAACGGAAAGCAAGTTCAAGGAAAATCTTTCAGATTAAACCACTGCACATGACTCACGAGGAAAGGTCCCCAACTGTCAACTCGCTTTTGAGCTCTGAGCTAGTGGACAATAGGTAATCAAACATGTTGAATCCGACTATGACAAGCATTTGGGCTTCTAGGCCTCCAGAGATCCGGTTTTTGAAAAACCAGTTTTCTAGGTCAAGAACGTTTTTTTTCAAAAAGTTTTCTGATCTGTCCAGATTGTAGAGCATATCAAGAACCCTAGGAAAAACATATCTTTTAAATTTTTGTAAGGGCTTTGAAATGTTTTTCAAGGGCAAAACTAAGATTCTGTAAAGGCAAAATTACTTTTCTTGTCTTTTGTTACCTTTCAATAAAAAATAAATGATAATTGGGTAAACGACTACAGAGATTCCGAGTATAACCAGTAGGTACTAGAAAGGAATAACCAAAAGCTATCAGTTTTACTTTCGCAGAACGTTTGCCTCTGGGGGGCCTAGGTTCTTATTCAAAGGTGTTTCTGGTTTACGTTCTTTACGTCTTTTAACTGGAGTCATCATGATTGTTAGGAGGGGACCTTCCATCTTTCCTTCTCTCATCACATTCATTCTTAACACGGGGTGGGATCTGACATCACTACCAGACACAGCTATGCCATCCCGCTTCACAATACTCTGCACACCTCTCTCTCTCTCTCTCTCTCTCTTCTCTTTTTGTTGTTTTGTATGCAAGTCAGTTGTCGGTTTTTAACGACTCGTACATATATTACGTAGTCATAAGGCAGCTATGTTCCCTATATATACAGGGCTTTGAAAATGGTCGAGTTCTTTGTTTTCTCTTTTTTATCCTGTCCTCTCTTTTCCTTCGGTAAAGACAGCCTCACAGATGAACGTTTCGAATATAATCAATCGCTTGTGCGATTTAGTCCGTAACAATCTGGGTTTGGCCTCGTCATCTCCAACGTCTCAAAAAGAGTGCGAAGTGGCAGATGGTTTATTTGAAACGATCAAATCTGTCAAAGATGCCACAGCATGTCACTATACAAAGGAAACCACGCTGGACGTGGATGATGACCCTTTGGATTACTCGAGTGGCAGCGAAGAAGAAGAGGGTGAATCGGAGGAAGAGGCTCATGGGCGATCTCCAACGATGGGCACTGGAAGAAGCATCCAAGAGATGACGTTAGTTTGTCCATCGGTTCACGTATTCATCTTTGCACCGTCATCCTCTATTAGTCTTCAATATCAAGAAACTAAAATGTCTGGATATTCTTGAAAATAAAATAGACCACAATATCTCAGAACGACAAAAAGCTTCACTTTGGCCTTTCGCACAATACACTATCCTTTGGCTTTTAGACATCTCTAACTTGTGCCTAACAACAATGGCCTTCCTGAGCCACAACAACAAAAACAGCCTTCTTACGCTAGTGATCGATTCTTACAAGGGAAAGTGACTTGAATCTCATAAGAAACTGATAAGACTCCGCTACGATTTGTATAAGAATCTTATTAGATTCTAATTGAATTCTTACATAAGAAGTCCGCACGAAAGTGACAAGAACCTGATAAAAAGCAATAAGAATCCTGTAAGAATTCGACAAGAAAAGAGCAAGAATTGACAAAAACTTCCTATGTTTCTTTTATTTCTTTAGTCAGCTGCATAGTTCATTAGTGAATGTGCATTTTCAAAACGACCAGACTTACCTAGCTTGAAGAAACTTTGAAAATATTTCCAAGAAGGCAGTGGTGCTTAGACAAGCCGTCAAAACTATGAACAAATCATTCGGAACATTTGTAGAATAATGTGAAGCGCTCCTCTGTGATGTTTGTATAAGAGAGAAGATATATAAAAGGACGTGAAAATAAAAGATCTCGGAAAATTAGCAGAATGGATCTCGGAAGGAAATAAAGACAGAAAAGATCTCGGAAAAATGTCAATTAAGCATTTCTGCATAAAAGATCTCGGAAAATTTT